CTACATAGATGTTAAGGCATTCTTTACTTTGTGAATAGTGTTCAGTTGGCTAAGATTTAAGTGCTCCATGCAAACATTTGCCCTCTGTTCGAAAGTCAATGAGTTTTTTTATTAAGGTCCAAACAACTGTAGCTGAATTGATTATAACAATCTCAGACCTACCGTATGACGACAGACAGGTTAGACTAGACCTATTCCCTTGTTATACAAAAGGAACTGCTGATCTATTCATAATCTTTTAAATTATTTGGTAATCGTTTTGCGCCTAACTTCTATTTTTCTTGCCTTACAGAACAGAGGATTTAAGAGAACTCTCAAAAAATTTCATAAGCTCTGAAATAATATGTCAGCTGACTATCTACTTTCCGATTAAAACTTCAATATGTGGTTGAAGCTCCTTTTATCAACGTGTTCAAAAGAAAGTCGGACAAGCTGAAAAAACCCATTACGAGAAATAACACAAAGCATCCAGCCTATTGTTCTTCTCGAACTGAAACTGTAACTGTCGAGATTAATTCACAATTTATCTTAATGAGTGGAAACATGATATAGGTATTTAAAATTCCTATAAACCACTATCGCATATTTTATGACTAACTAAGCACCCTTAATCGATGATTATAGTATGTAACATTCTAAATCGTTACAAATTATAGGAATAATTCATATCACATTTATTTGGTAGTAGCTTTTTTACACTACTTGAGTGACTGACAGAAATTTTAAAAAGAGTCCAAGGTTTGAGTATCATTCCATTAATGGGAATAACTTTCGTTGGGAGGAAATATGTATATTTGTGTTCTCTATCTATATCTTTCAACTAGCAATCAGAAAATTTGCTTCAGTCTCCCACTTTATGGTAAAGTTGGAGAATTATTCCAAGATTATTTCCTTGAATATTTTTATGGGACTGAATATTAAAAATCATTGACATCACTTTAAATGTTTAAGTTACCGGCAATGACCAATACTTTTTATGATTTACATTGTATTACAACAAATGCTCCAGAAATCGCGCGAGATAAATTATCGTCCCAGTTGATTTACTTAGTAAACAATTTTTAACACTCATCCCCCTTTGGAAATTATCACTGATTCTTTTATGCATGATTCAACTTATTATACACAGACATTTAGTCTACTGATCTCCTCACTAACATTGTGTAAATTTAATCAGTCTTAGTGATATTTAATGAAATTCAATCTAGAAATAATGTCACTTTCTAAAAAAAATATGAAATCAAAATAACCATATCCTCTTAACTACTGAAACTAAATCCATTCATGATTATAACGATGACGATGATGATGATGATGTTCTAGTCGGGAAAATGTTGAACATGTAAACCTGCTATTATAAATGTATGTGAATTAACTCACAGTTAAATTAGTGAACATGTTTTTCACTCAAGTTATTTATTAGTATTAATCATGTGCAATCACCATATTTGACAAGCCTTCTTCTCATTGTTAAATTATTTACCCGCTCAATAATTTCATTATCCCTAACTGGATATGAATCGCTTTAGTTACCAAGTTCCATAATAATGAAAATAATAATAATTACATTTAATTCGGATGAATATAAAGAGATGATAAAGAGAAACATGATGATCATAACGACAAGTTTTGTTGTTTAAATGAACAATAAATGAGGATAATAGAAATTAGAAGTAAATTAACATGGGACAATTGTGATATACATCTTATGATCTTAATTTTTTTAAAGCCTATTTCTATCATTTAGAAACAGGACACCTGTTCATGTTACCTACATGAATAAGTCATATAAGAAGAAGAGAAATTTACCCAGGGTTTAAAGTTTCTCATAAAACATATGACAATACATAATAAAAGCTGTCAGATTTAAAGTTTATCTTCATTATTAACTAACAGCATTGGAAATTATGAATTTATAGTCAGTTGATGCTGAAGAATCATCAGTAATCTGTACATTCAAATTATATATGGTGTTTTTTGCTTTAAGGTAAATATGTTTCTATCAGTAGAGGGCTGTGGAGATTATTAAGTTTTCGATTGAGATCATGAACCGATTGATGTTGGACCATCGTTGAAAACGTGGAAGCAGTGGACGACCGTTTCGTGCTATTGTGGGACTCCCTAGCAGTGCGCATCCACCGTCCCGCTCGTGAGATTCGAACCAAGGGCCTTCAGTTTCGTGAACGAATGCTTAACCTCTAGACCACTGAATCGGCCGGCATCCAGCAGTGTTAATTTCTAACCTCAACCATTCCACGAAATCGCGCGACCATCTTCCATTGTACTGAGGTAGATACCTGTCTCTACCCGATACGGTTATAGCTTCTCACTAGGACCCCGACAATCCTCTCACAAAGCTAGTCACTAGTCTCGCGCGCTTTATGTTTGAATCTCACGAGCGGGATCGTTGATACGCACTACTGAGAAGGCCCAAAATAGGATGAAACGGTCGTCCAGTGCCTCCATGTTTTTAATGGTGGTCTAACATCAGTCAGTTCATGATTTCAATCAAAAAATATGTTTCTGTTGAACGGGAAGTAATCGGTTCACATGTTTCAATTTTGGTGAATACAACTGTTAGTTAATGTTTGCCAGTGAGTAACTGCATCGATGTCAACTTAGTTAACTCTGCCAGGATCATGGTTTAAAACTCAAACTTCAGGGAATCGATTTTAGATTCCTCAGAGTACATGTTTCCTAGTTGTTGTTATTAAATAATTCAGTTGATCGTTCTCTATTATAATATGCACATACCCGTCACATAAGCCAGCGCCTATTTAGGCTCATTCACTTAATGGATTGTCTATTAGATGTTTGAAAGGAAAGGTACTGGTTCTGAGTTTTAGTGTGAATTCCAATACTAGGATGCATGTAAATTCAGCGGATGAGTTTCAAATAGGACGAAATCTGAGGCCCAGATTTCATTGCTACGCACTAACTAACTTCATTAAAAATCGATTTCAATGTTAGTCACTTGTGAAGTAGATTATTTTAATAAGATTATCTCAATTATTTCGAATGTAACTATATGAATGAAGCGAATTATTGAAACTAAAAGATATTTATGTAAAAAGATGTTAATAAATCTTTTCTTTTCTAAAACTAAACAAACTGTAACTTGACATATGAAGTCAACCATTAAAAGAGTCATTTACTCACGACTGACGACAGATAACAGTCAAGTTGTATTACCACTACATTTAGAAAATGTGGCTAGTTGAATGGAGTAAATGACATATTCACGCTCTGTTCATAATCTGAATTTTATGCGTCCAATTCATTGTGTACCTTAAGTACCGCAGAGTCTCAAACTGAAAATAAACAAGCGTACAATGTATTATATTCTAATCTAAGAGATTATTTTTATTACATAATTACTTCCATACATCTCTTTTTAATCAACCTTAACTAATCTTTGTTTGGTCTGTGGCTTTCGATCGAATCGAAAATTTAAAATATCCTGAGCTAGATTCACTTGGCATTGTTTACTTGAATGTCTTTATTGATGCTTAGGACTGCAGTGGATCAATCTCTTATTGATATCTGTGCACATTGTGAGTATTGCCTCGATATTGCGTTAATTCACAAGCATTCTGAGCAAAAATGGATAGTGGCCAGCAGTGGCGTCCAGGACGCGCGTTCCGTCCTATTTGAGACTCGTCAGCTGGATGTACCTGCATCTCAGGGTTGATGTTCACTCTGGGACTCGAACCCAGTACTGTTTACTTCAAACGCCATCGCGTTATATTATATATATTTGCTTATATTCTCAGCTAGCTTTATTTCACGGTTTATTATTATAGCCCTGAATAAATATGTTTTCAAGAATGATTTTATTACTATTGATATTCGCCTGTATAATCCTTGGTGAAGTATTTTAAGGTGGCCTATTTAAATCCCTGGACTATATATGTCTTAACTGTACAAGCATTACAGTCGTGTTTCCCATTCTGAGTCCACTACAGGTAAATAATTAGTTCTGTTAACCACTTTATGTACTGAAGTACTTTTTTACAATGCATCATGATGTTAATCAGCACAATACTGGTGTCATGAGACTTGAGGATCAGAGTTTTTAAATATTAAACAGTTTTGGGTGATCTTCGTACAGAAGTCCTGATATGAAACCTGGTAAGTTAACACTTCATATTAGTCAGCCCCGTCATTAACGATTTGAATTGATTTTATATGACAAACAACAATTCTTGAGTCACATATTACAGTTTTAAATGATGTACTCTGCCTTAAGTCTGGCCAATTTATGGGTTATTAATTTGGATTTATAATTGTAGAACCTGATGAGGAATTATTGAAAAGAATAGTCCTCGTTCATATAATTGTGTTTTAACCTGATAATTGCCAAGTACTCTCTGATTTCCGGTGGTTTTCTAGTTAATGTTAATTCATGGTGAAAATCACTTGCAAACACAATTTGTCAATATCACAACTTCGATATGTTTTGACTACTGGAATATATTAAGTGCTGAATAATTCCCCCCTAATGGTTTTTTTGTATCTAAGCGTGTGATTCACTAGCGTGTTATTTTTTTAATTTATTAATCTCATTTACAAGCATATGAACTGTTTACTGTTCCAGAAATCAGGAAGCAACAAGATATCTCAATATTCATTAGATAAAATCCAATAAAATCCCTATACTGATAAAATAAAATGGTTGGTTCCAATGGATCCAGAAAATATTCTTTTTTTCAAACACACCCTCTGAGTTAAATGCTGCCCTTTTTAGTAGTCGTTTTTTCCCTTTGTTAGAAAAATGATTATGTACATGGTCATTTTAATGAAATAATGAATTGTAAATGTAACTTGAAAGGACGCAGATTATTCCGATTGGTCTAATTATATTTCTGTCTCCCTTATTTTGTCCAATCAAAATCACGAATATTTAACTTGAGGCATACACCTTTTCTATTTAAAACCATATTGTTATAAATTTTTATTTCATTATTTTCACAACACTCTTGCTTTACTTCAAAGACATTATGTCGCGAAATTGTATCGGAAATCTATCACCGATTCAACGAAAACTTTTAACAAAACGAAGATGTCAATCTACATTCAAACCACTCAGTGGATTGAATAAAAATATCCGAAAAAGAACATACTTAAAAAGATTAAATGATAATAATTCTTTAAAACCACATCAAATTGAATGTGAACGATTGAAGGAAATTCTACCAACTGTTGCAAACTGTGAAAATTTGGATGAAGTAAGTTATTAAACCTTACAATCATGTATACACTGTATTGATGTTGTAGGTCGAGTTATTTTTTTAGAAGCACCAGAACTCTACAACTTTGCCATACCTTTTGTTGCAGTCTGGATTGAATTTTCAGGACTGTAACTGACCAATCTTTATTAGAATATATGCACCCTGTGTGATTTGACTAGACACTGCTTTAGTTATAAGTTTTAGTACACTTGGATCGTGGCTAAAATTGGAGTGTTCTGTACTTTTTTGTACTGGATGTATCTGCATCCAAGAGCTCACATACATACAACTGGTTGTTCATTTTTGTAGATCATATTATATTGTGTTTATAATAAGATTCTAGAAGTCTTTTGATGCAAGACTAAAACTGAGAATTCTCTAAGCAAGAGCAAAAGAGATTCTCATAGCACACAAGTTTTCCCTAAGGTTGCTTAAAAAGAACCTTAATCCTCAGATTATAACTCTAAAACAATTCACTTTTTAGCCTGAATAATCTTCCACTTTTCATAAAATGTTTATTGTTTGTAATAGTAATTTATGACTACTACTATAGTCAGTTAACTTCGAGTATAAAGATAATAGAAACAAAGACATACCTATAAGCATGTCAATATTTGTAATAAGCAGCTAATGAGAACCTAATGAAATAAAATGAATTCACATTATTCTGCACCAGTCTTTGTTTCTGCTCTCTTTGCGATAATAAAAGGAATCATGTATATGAAATTCGATCATAAAATTATCAAATTAATCACGTTCTTAAAACTAATCTTTTTCGTATTGACAAATTTTTAAATAAGATCACGTTTTTTCATTATCAGTTTGTCGTCCTACATTTACGTGCGTTTTCCTTTAATTCAAGTGACAGAATTGACAGTTTTACCAATGACTATTTACATTGTTTACATAGATATAAGTTATTCTGATATTTCTTCTCAAATCCAATGAGCCGTTTTACTGGTTTAATGAGGCAGATTAATCATTGTTAGATTTCGATTTGCTTATTATTTTAATAAACAGTGTAACTTATCCTGCCGACTACTCATTTGTGATAATCTGAAACTTATCATGTACTCTGTTATATAAATGGAAGTTTGTGTATACATACATAAATCTTTTTACCCCATTATTTTTCTATTAGGTGAAAATTATTCAAGAAGCAATAAAGCATATAAACTATTTAGAACAAGCAGTACTTCGACGATTAAATATTATCAATGTAGAAACTTCAATTGAAAACAGTAAGTTTTGTTTTGTATTGTTTATGCTATTATGATCATTTGATTGAGATCATGAATCGATCAATGTTAGAACACCTTTGAAAACCTGAGAGCAGTGGGCGGTCGTTTCGTTCTAGTGCGGGACTCCTTAGCAGTTCGTACTCACGACCTTGTACGCGGGACTCGAACTCGGGATCTTCAATAATACGCGGACGCTAAACCTCCAGATCACTGAGACGGCATGCAGGACCGTGGATGCTCACTGCCGAGGAGTCCCATACTTGGACGAAACGGTCGTCCAGTGCTTTAAGTTTTTCAATGGTGGTTTAGATTTAATTGACTCATGAATTTAACTATTCAGTTACTAAATTATGAGAATGTGAAAAAAACAGAAGTCAATATCATTAGGTAAATTCATGGTCTCTACCAAAAACTCAACAGTCTCCACAACCCAATACTGATCATTATGACCAGTTTGTTAAAGTTTCACCGCATTATTTATAATTTATTTAATTCTCAAAACGATTGATTGAGAAGAGTAATAGAATGCGACATAAAGTATATTTTCTCTTTAATAGTCAGTTTACCTTCAACCATGGGTATAGGGTTATTGTAGTTTGATGATATTTACAGGTCTCGTAAAATTGTTGGTATAGTTCAACTGTATATAAATACGCTAATTCTATTTGTTCATCTTAAATATGATACAACATAATAATATAATATTAAGTCTCAAATATTGAATTAAGATTTCTACTATTTATTACTTTTGCTAAGTTGCTATTAGAATTTATCATGCCCTGTAGTTTTAGCCATGTTTTTAGCTTATATATGCTAATTTTCTAATAAAATAAAGGTCGAAATACTGAAGTTACTCGGATAATAATTGCTAACAACATCCAGCTGAAAATACTTCAATGTTTAATCTAGATACTATTCCTTGGATCTATTGCAAAAAGGAAGACCATGTTTATTTCTCAATCGACTTGTAAATGATATTTTCAAGTTGTCTACTTAAAACTTGAGACATGTTCATCTTAGAAATAAACATCTGAATAGTGTTAGTAACTATCAGGTCATACTGGTAATGTTTTGTTAAGTCAATAGAATTATTTATGTAAATGAATAACACATGTTCTGTTCACATATCACTTGGTATGATTCCAAATTCTCTATTTATAAAAATAAATGTTCATGTGTGTATATAATATGCATGCGTGCTACTATCAGATAATAAACAAATACCTCATTTAAACATATGGTAAAATTCTCAAAATGATATTGTAGTAGAAGTAATAATAAAAATAATAATAACGACTACATTCAACAGATTCAGTCAGATTCGCATTTAAAAAGTATATTTGAAGCTTGATCTAATTAGTTAAATTAACACAATTCACTCTTGTCTCGTTATCAGAATGGGGATTTGTGGAGATTGTAGTAATTTCATCAGTTGAATTTATGAGTCGATCTAAGCTAGACCACCATTGAAAACCTGGAAGCGCTGGACGGCCGTTTCGTCTCAGTATGATACTTTTCAGCAGTGCACATCCGCGACAATGAGTTGAGCCAGATCATGAATCGACTGAAGTTATACATTAACACCGTTAAATGCGAGCTCACTGATCTAGAGGATAAGTGTCCGCGCCCAAAACCGAAGGTCCTGGACTCGAATTCTGCGTGAGGGATCGTGGATGTGCATTGCTGAGGAGTCCTATACTATGACGAAATGGCCGTCCAGTGCTATAAGGTTTTCAGTGGTGGTCTAGCTTAGATCGGCTCATAAATTCAACTGTTTATACTTGTCCCGTTCTCAAAAACTGACAATAACAGTGTATGAGTTGAATTCATTTACTAAAACAAAGATGTTCAGTATTGTAAGATGTTAAAAAATATCCAGAATATCTCGATACTAAGACATTGTTACAAAAAAATGTCGGTATTGAATATGATTCTTTTATAACAGATGTTGAAAATATTAAATGATAGAGCTTTGGACAAGATAAAGAGTACAATTAAACCTAATTCCTTTTGAAAAATAATATTTTTTCATCAATCCACTATTTTCTTCTTTTCTTCATCCTACAGGTAATCTCCATTCTTCCTCATTGTCATCATCCTCCTTACTTCCAGCGTTCATTTTTAAATTATTATCTAGTCAGAATAATCCATCACAATCAATATCAGAAGAGAATTTGCTTTTTCATGCTAATACTTCTTATCATAACAGGCCTCAACTAAATAATAATTACATAACTGATGATAATTTTTTATCAAAATCCTATGAATATTTAAATTCGAATGGTAGTACACCATATCAGACAGATGATGATATTGATCAACTGGGGTAAAAGGATATGATAAAAAGAAAACTTTTTTAAATACTACAATTTCAGCGCCTTGTAAATAAAAAAAAGTGAACATATTTGATGGTAAATAACCAAAACCACTGTTGAACACTAAACTCAATTCACTGTACATAAAAATACATACATTATTGTACATAAGTTATTTTGATTGAATTAAATATTTAAAGAGATATATTATGAATGATTATGAATGATTATATCTGTTTTGAACTATCTAACTCTGTTTTCTGTCGTTATGAGAAGCAGTCATTTTGTTTAGAAATTTAGTTTATTAGTCCTAGAGTGTAAACAAAAAAAAACACGGTTATACACTTAAAGACAAACTACAGAAAACCTTATGAACTAAGTTTTATAGTGGTAGTATTCAATGATATAGTGCTTACATACAACTGGTCAGTTCAAGTCGACACCACTTAATTCTCTATAGACTACGTGATTATCATCATATACATTATTATCATCATTTTATATCTCAGTAATCGTGATCACATTATCAGTCTACATCATAGGATATATAAATCATGAAAAACGACTATGATAAAGCGAAAAGAACACATTCTCTAAATAGAAGAGCATAAAGTAAGACAATAAAAAACGGGAAGTAATTAACTAATGAAGATTTACGAAGGCTAAAGCCGTAAAGTATATACTGCTGAACGGTAACGCTCAATATTTTGTTTGGTTCTCATTAAAATGTGATACGGTGGTGTTTAGATTCAATCAGTCTGACTGTAGAACGATAACAAGTTCCATCCAGCAATATGGTTACAGATCTTACTGAAAGTCATAGAATTCAGTAAGTGCTAGTCAATATTTCAGCAGCATTTTTAAAAACGAGAATGTTGTGTAATAGTCAAATTGTCCGTTTGTGTTTGGATAAAAGCGCATTTATTCAGAGTCGTTGAGTTGTTCTGGTTTCACTGTTGGTTTTATAAGAATTGAAAGACTAATTAGTGAACCTTAAAAATATGGTCATACCTAGGTCTTGATTTAATAAGCTAGGAATTATTCTTATCCAACCAGTATTAATATTTTTCACAGATGTTTTTTTTCTCATTTAAACCTTGTGCACAGTAGGATACGACTTGCTTAAACATGTTTTTTTTTCAACATTGTTTATAAAATATAAAACAAATACATTTCGATCTGTTTTTAAAGTGATGAAACTGTTGATATTAGTATGCTTAAAAGTGCAAACAACCAAATGAAATTTGGTAAAGCTAGAAAGTAGTTATCAGTGAAATCCGGAACGCTCGTTTATTCTAATTTATATCACTGTAATTACAAATCGATCTAAGTTAGACAACTATTGTAAATATGGAAGCACTAATATGAGACTCCTCAACAGTACGCATCCACGACCTCGCAAGTGGAAATCAAACCCAGGACCATCAGTTTCGTGTTTGAACGCTTAGACTTTAGACCACTGAGTCGGTATCCAATGATGTAATCCAGTCAGTTTGCAGGAGTCCATTGCTTTCAGGTATTGAATCGCTGTATAATTTACACCTGTCCGTGATTTTATTGGAATCTAACTGTTTCCACAACCCAATGCTTACTTCCTTGTATTTCCCTTAGAATTTGTTTTCCACATAAGATATAAATTCTCTGCCTTTTAATTGATCTTGAAATTCCAGATTTGCAACAAAAAGTGAATTAGCAGTTTAAGGGTGATTAAGTAATGTAAATGTTTGTTAGGCTTATAGATTCGTTGAAATACATTAACACTTAGCATTATAGAATATTTTCACCCAGTTAACATGAAGTAATACATAAATAATTACGTAGAAAAATTGTATGCTTGTGTGGGTTCGATAAAATCTAAGTTAAGTCAGCACTTTTTTTTTTGTTGATCAAAATGATAGCTGGTATAAATTTGCATGTCTATGTCATTGTACAATGTCTCAATAGTAGTATGTGTGTTTAGTAATTTAACTCAGCGGATGCATGTATGGATCTAAAATGCTGAACTTATTATTTCTATGATACTTATGATATTAGATTAGAATTTTTTAAAGTATGGTATTAATCAGTATGAAAAAAATTATCATGAACTATCTGTTTTCCAACTTTTATAATTTTCCATTTGTTTACTAGGCATTAACATGTTCACATATATACTCACTAATATTAATGTTAATTTGTAACATGAAACATTCAGTATTTAAATATGACAAAGACCAGTCATGATATTAACAAATATCTCTTTTGTAGAATCTATTTATTCTAGTTCATATAACAAATGATATCACACTAAAAAAAGCGGAACACTCGTTCTTCTCTTCAAGGTTAAGGTAACTTGATTATCAGAGATGCATAGCATGATCTATAATTCATGATACAAACAATACAGATGATATAAAGAAACGTTGATCATTATCTTACTAGAAGATTACAGTCACTAGAAATTACATATTTCTCTGATGAAGTTTCTGTCTGACTAGAGTATAATGCTTTCAGTTCGAAATTTGAAGGGTATTTTGAAGAGTTTCTACAGTTTGGCTGTCATGAGGTGATTTTTTTGAAAGTTTATAATGTTTTATAATTAGTCACCGAGTACATAAGTTAGGAGTAAACGAGACACCAAGTGATATAATATGCATGTACACATAAAACAGTGTGATAATATTAATATATAAAGAGAGAGAATATCAGAATTTGTAAGATAACTTCTCAATTGATTATACTGAATTATTTCTCAGACAAGAATCATGAATTTGTGTTACGTTCCTACATTCTAGTAAGAAAAATATTTAATCCAATAATTCAACTGACTTCTATTTTTTCCCCTTCAGTCAGGGAGTTGATACCCTGGATAGTATAAATTAAACATGTATAGGCTACTAGAAATCCACTTTATGGTAATCATTAGGTTTAGAGACAAATCATTATCAAAATTTATTGCTACTTATATATCAGTATCTCATCATCCACAAGAAACAATAATTGAAACATTATAACATGTTAAATGTATGTAATTCAACGTGACTAGTTATAAACAATGTAAAGGAAAATTTTGTTTTTCACTAAAACACAACATAAAAATCTAATCTCGTTTACTTGGTCATTTATTGTCACCTGCCTATGAACTTAAATCTAATTATTTGAGAAAACTATGCACATAAATTGGTCACATTTCAAAAGAACAGTGTCAATTAAAACAGAATATAACATGTAAATGTAGATGTCATTATATGATATAAACTAACTTCAGATTGAGTGATCTCTATAAAACCCCTTAACTTAACAATGCAAGTTATTGTAACAATATTTATAGCTTCTAGAGGAATCCCCAAAGTTGTGATCGATCGAATAAAAGGCATTTACCCAGTGATGGCATCGAATAATGATTGTGCCAAAACTGATTGAAGTTAGAAATATGAACCATCAAATTCTGACTCTATTGTTTAATGGTGATATGTACATTTCTGGATCTCAAGTTCCTGACATCGATCTTCAGTTCTGCTCATTATCTAAGAGTTTCAGAATAATATGAAACAGTTGTTGATTCTTTGTGTAAGGAGCTTATGCAGATCATTAAGGTTTACAATTGAAAAAATAGACTGAGAAGTTTCAAACTGGAAAAAAACAGCTATTCAGTTGTTTCTGGTTTGTAGTGATTGTCATAATTCCCGGAGTTCTGGTAAGAAGCCATAATCATGGAGTTTGAGCATGTCGGGTGTGTATCAGTTATTCACATATACCATTAGTTGACGGTTACTTAATAACTTGAATAGAAATGCAACTCATTGGGTGCTGACTCGGTGGTCTGAAGGTTAAGAGCTCATCACGAAACTTGAATATCCTGAATTCAATCTGTGTTGTGGTCGTGATTGAGCTCTGCTAACAAATCACATTCTAGAACAAAATAACTGTCTAATGTTTGCTAGTATCCAATGTTATCCTGGATTCAACCAGTTCTCCAGTAAACCTCGGGTCTTTATCAAGACTAACTTGAGACTGTAATTATCATAAGAAAAGTATTAAATAGTAAAATATACTAAGGTAAGTTTTACGATACAAAATGATTATTTTTATCTCACATATTCCTCAATATTAAGTGACTCTTAGAATTACTAAACTTTATTCATTATGATAATTTAAGGTAAAATAAAGAACAATATTACCATTGTATTATGCCTCAGTGACTAAATTCCACCAAGTCTATAATTACAAAAACAAGCAACTTTATAATTAACATTGGTGAAAATGAATAAATGTCAAGTTATAATCACTAAAATACCACAACTAGGAATGAATTTTTTTTTGAAAAAAATCGTGTATTTTAGGCATAAAAAAAGTTGTCTACCACCTGTTTATTCACTTGAACTAACACCTTACTTATATGTTTATATGTTAGTGTAGGCACAAATAGTCATCTGGCGAACTGTTTAATGAATCACTGAAACTTCATGATTGCGGCTAAACGAAAGGGTCAGTGGTTAAATGACCTTATAGGAACAGTAATAATAATGATAGTAATAATAATAATAACTATTATTCACTGGGTGAGTTAGGAAGAAATGTGTCTTACTGCTATCTTGGGTATTAGTTGCTAAGCCTACAATATACATATATATGTATGTTTCTAATTTGGTAGGAGATATAAGCAATTAATTATTTATCTTTGGTATGTGCGTCTGTGCATATATACATCTGTACTACTTGCATCTGTTGGGGTTATAAATATAGTCTAATCATTCCCACAACCTAGTAACTACTGTAAAAAAATATACTCCGTAACATCATATAGGAAAATAAATACACCTTCCAGATGTCCACCTTAAAGATACCATGATTTATGAGACGAGGATCGACATACCATATTTTCATGATGAAATTACTAAGATGGGGAAGAAAGATGGGTCAGAGATTAGATGTTTTTGTTAAGCTAAAATTATTAGTTTTATGATCGTCAAATAAAGCAAATCATAAAGTATATAACTTCCAGCATACAATTTTATTGACATTGAGTAATGAAT